CTAGAACAACGGTACACCGGGCGAACATTACATCAGAGTTAGTACATGCGATGCGTCTGAGCAAACGGTTACGTGATTGGGTGATAGCTCTTCAACCAATGATATGTCCTATTAATTTCTATAAAACATGCTATATTTCTACGAATAAACATTGGCGCTTGCCGCTTCCAATTTTCCATGTAGTTAATTGGTTTTCGAAATTCTGGTTGGAGCCAATCCAGTTCTGAGTATCACAACACGAGTTTTCGTAGTCCTATATTTAATACTATTGTGAATACCACAGTATCCTTAACCATTTCATTTAAGCACATTGCTGCCCCTCGGTCTAGTTGAGAACCTTGAGGAGAGTTGTTTTGAATAGTATCTTGTGTTCTATTCTGTCCATGAAGCAAGGATTTGTTTCTAGCGGTTTTATAAGGAATTATCTGGGTTACCACCAATAAACTCTAACTTTTAATAATCCCTGCTATTTTTTTCTCATAGATTTTTGGGAGAAATATTTACCATAGTTTCTATACTAATAACCATCATCGGAGTTAGTAAATGTGCCGAAGAACTAGCCATTCAAACTAAACATCGCCAATATGCTATCACTCTGGTATTTCTTGGGTGTAAAACGTGTTATTTTTCGGTAAAGTTTTTCGCATTCTCCTTGGATAAACTATGTTTACTTTTTGACCACATGTTCCTAATAATTTTAACCGCAGTGTACGGATGGTGTGAAATGATCCAGAATAAATTGTGCAAACCTGTGTTTTCGGCTTTTCACTACCTAGTTTAGCTGATTCGTAGAAAGGCTGGCGCACATAATATTCCCCACATCACCAACAACGGGCTTCTGTTTTGCAATACAAATAGCAGACCATGAAGGTTACAAGTAATTTAATGCTGCGGTTTCTCAGGTGCAAGAAAGGCGTCGAAATATCTCAGCGGTAGGAAGCACAGTATTCTTCAATATATCTAGCCTCTACTGCTGTTTTCAGAAGGCAATACACCCAATTCCCCTGAGTGGTCCAGCAGCTACAGAAATAAATTTTATTCTTATCTTCAGGCGCAGAAATACGAGGAGGCTTAGGGTTAAATTTATGTGATAACTGAGTTATACGGAATAAAGCCCTTGATTTGAATTCTTAATTTGAGCGCTGTTGTTCGTCGCGTTCATTGTGAAAACGTCCAAAGGAAGGGCTACGGAAACTGAGACAATGTAATTTTAATTTCCCGAGATCTACTCTTATTGCTTCTCTTGAATCTCGATGGATAAAGCTGCTCTACAATCAATAACTCCCAGATAGTTGGCCGGTTGGCATTCGTCGGGTACAGGGCAAAACATATGTTTAAGTTCGGGAATAGAGATTGTTTGAAAGACATGAGCGTCTGATGGAGTTGGCCGTATTTTGTCATTTGAGAAACTTATACCGAGAGCCGACAGATTACGTCAGGTGACACGTACTTTCATGCTGCAGTTCTGCTGTTCTTAAACGTAAATGAACTGTGCATTACGGTCGACTCAAGATAACCCCTGTTTGGCCTTTTCCATTACATTTTACCGTCCACTTAATTCATTTCGGTCATAGTTTTAAACCACGTTTTTTGTTCTACTGTTCAAAGTCAAGCCAATCTTTAGGGTCCCGAATCCACTGATGAAAACCATGCATTTAACAATCTAAGTAGACATAAACTGATAGTGAGAGATGGATCCATTTAGTTTCATCGTGTTACTTTGACAGTATTCAGCGGCCTCATGGTACGCTTCTTAACAGCTAGTCATTTTGTGAAGGATGGTCGTTTGTAGTAAAACCAGGAAGCGAGCGAAACTTTTAGGCTTCATAGAAAACTGTTGCGTCACTAGATATCAGTAACCGAAAATGTAGGAATCATACATACTTCGATGATGCTTCAAATTAAACAAAACACAATGTCACCGATAGGTTGAACATCCCATTCTACCTGTTTTTTTCGTTACGCACTTACGAAAGTATCTTAAGCGTCAGTAACACGACAGCATGAGCTTATCAATGATCATACTCCAAAAATGGAGTTCGAGTTTTTCAGTGTTGGGGTCGAGCATCCGGATGCAATGTTGACAAGAACGATTGTTTCACTGATTAGAAATTTAGCCAACTCAACAAATTTCCAAACACTATTTGTTTCACTGAACTCGGCGGAGTACGTGAGTACAATTAGTTGGCGATCAGCTGGTTGCCTGGGCAATTGATTATCACAAAATCTATTCAAATTCCCTCCTGCAAAAGAAGGCGCGAATGATACTAAACGCATTTTACAGTAGATGAATCTTTTTGATGCGTTGTGCAATGGAATTTTGATTGTCATTTTGAAGTTACCTGGACTTGATGGAGAAGATCGGAGTTATTAAGGCTCGTTTGTTTTGACAGAGAACTAATCGAATATAATGTGACAAACAGCGTCTGTTTCGTGCTACGGCTTTTGTCAGTCATGCGTGAGCACTGGGTCTTGTCACAACGTGCCCAATCCCGAGTGTGTGCGTTTCCGTATCTGATCGACGGACAAGCCGAATTGACGAAATGATTAATCAGACCCGAAAAGGTCACGTCAGTAAATGTCTAAAATGAGGTCATGCGAGGTGAAGCATGATACGTTCTCTACCTATGACTTCCACTAGAATGACGTTACTTTAAGAAGCCGTTTGATGCCATGCATATTCTCTAGCATGTGAGATTTGCCTACGCCATTAATGTGCAATTAGGTCTGGAAAGTTTCACTTATTCAAAACCCATACCAACTAAAAGGAGGACTATATTTTAGTGATGATCAACAGGTCACTTCTTAATCCTAGAAGGATTTTCAAGTAAAGTACGCAGTCACATGTTGAATGAAATATGGAGATTTTGGACCAACCGGTAATATCTTGGGTGTGGGGGATTTTCATACGTTTTGGAGCGATTTGTATATATGTATGCGTACATAATTTTCAGTTGGTTTTTGCCTTATACCACCAAAGTCACCATCCTGGATCAAAATGATTCAAGGCTACAGAAAGTTGCTGAGAAAAATTTATTCATGTACATACTCGGTTAACGGGTTGGTTGGTTGCGAAAATCAAAGGAGTTAGATGCTGTGATGAAATTGAACAGAGGTGAATGTAGCTAGTCAGGTGTTATTACATCAACGAACTAATTCTGTCGCGAACATCATGATTTACAAGGGATTTGCACAGCAACATCACTTTTGTATTTTCTGTGCCTAATAACAAAGGAAAATAGTAATTTGTCTGCTCCCAAACGATAATCAAATTTGCAATCAAGACAACTTAGGACATGCAATCAGAAATAAGTAGTTTCCCTAATTATTATATATTTTCGATCTCTCCTAAAACACTATCATTGGCATCTTTCGAACTAGAAAGAAATCGAAGAAGTGTTTTCAAATTCCTTACCATATTTCGATGCATCATAATGACATTTGGAAATTATATGTTTATTGTTAAACATCAAAGTAGTAAATATATCCTATCATGGCTGAGTGACTTTAAAGGTTTTCACTTTTCTGATTAATTGATACTTAATCAACTTCACTGCTCCATATCTAATTACTGAGGGCCTGCATTCGTTACGGTCAATTTCGCAAAAGGTGGTCTGTCCTTTCACTTTCGTGTGGGTGGCGGGGACATGGTAAAAAGGTACACTCATATGGCCCGTTTGATTAACCTGTTTGAATGAAGTTTACTGAATTAATCTATGTGGTCCCACTGTGAACTAAACACTGACGGTGGACTGGTGTTCCCTACTATAACCGCATCAGTCTCATGACGGCTATACTTGTCCTATATGAATGCACTTCAGTGATAAATCACCTAGTCGATTTGCAGAACAGGAAGCTTTCGGGTTGTTTGACGTTTGCTCTGACAACAATGGCAATCCTATTACGCCAGTGTCTTTGAGGAAGGCAAAATATCTGAGGACTGTCCTTATGACTGGTCGGCAAATATGCACTGCAGACCAAATTGACGAACGCAACACAACCATAGGGTCAACTGGATAGGTTACCTGCTTTGGCCAGACAGACCAGTATGTGGGGGTTGAGCAGAACACATGGCTCGGCGTTTGTACGCGCGAGTGTGTGCGTGCATTCCTATTTGTGCGTGCGCTGGAGCATTTGTTGGGAGTGAGGACAGACAAGCATAGTGCGCTTCATCGTAGTCGTCATCACCACCACCAAAACCACCACCTCTATCGCAGCAGCGGTAGCGGGAACAACAACAACGGAAACAGCACCACAAACACCAACCCGTATTTACTCAGGAGTGAAAACAGGATCTCCAATTGCTGCTTGTTTCAACCTATTAGGCTCGCTTCTTCCAATACACACCCACAAATAGTCACTGAAATACTCACACAACTCTCACCACTAGCACCTACCCAACTATGTTGTCTCGCTCGTTCTCAACCCTTCTCCTATAGAATCACCTCCTATTCGTTCCCTTGTACAGTCACACAATCTCACTAGCACATTCACCCATTTAGTACATGTGAGGACAATCAAAGGTAAATGTAACAACACACGCGCACACACAAAGACAATCACAGAGTGCTGTGATCACGGGTAATGTTACAGCGAACTTGGGGTAGTATGAGCTGAGGAGTAAGAGGAAATACATATACTGTGGGACGCAACTGCAGAAGTCATATAACGCAATCCGCTTTAATGCATCGCTTGAACATTTCATAACCCGTTGAGTCATGATGTGATTCTGTTCGATCACACAGTGACTACATTTTTATTCTTGCTTTTTCACAACTAAGTCATCTGGGAATATATGTAGAGCCTAAGCATTATACGTGACTGGGACACTATAAAAACTTGGAGCATATTGGAGCTCTCGTTACCGTCATTTCGGTGGTGTCGGTAATGGTGGTGGTGGTGAATATTCTCAATCATCGTTTCACTGTTCTCAAGGAAATTACGGACTAGATTTGAAAAATCCCAACAGCCTGCAGACTGTGTCCAGGAGTACAGAGTGAATGATGATGAACAAATACCATCAACATTCAGCTGACACCAGCTCTTCCTCATCCTCTGGATTCATGCGACCGGGAGATGTACCACATCCAAGGAGACCATTGTGTCACAGTAATCCTGGAAGTGGAGAAGAACGCTCGCGGACAGGTGAGTTGATCGTTTTTGATCGCCCTCCAACGTACTCTGCGGAGACAAAGCATAGTCCATTGCAAGTGGAACACCGACCAGAAACATTTTTAACCATCGCAAGTCCTGTCAGTCCTGTTGAGACGTTGGGAAAACAAACAAACAAACCAATGGATTATTTGTCTGATGGAAATAAACCTCATGAAAAAAGTTGGTCAGGTGAAACCGACCGATTAAGTACTACCTGCTCGTTGGAACCGAGAAGTCCGTCCTCCACAACAACGTTTTACATCCGACCCGGAGGAGATCAGTATCAGCATAATGCTAGTAAATCCGAAGATGAGATGACCTACAACTCTATCTTAATGGACAGATCTGGGCAGGTATCTATTTCAACTGCTCAAAAACGTTATAGGAGTAAGAATCGAGAATTTATAACTGACATGCAAAATATTCAGGCACCAAACAAGTCGGCTTGTCGAAGCAGAACACGCTTCAAACACCAAAACTCTTCGCCTATGATATCCCGAAGTCGAACTCCACATGAACGACGCACAAGTCCATATGTCAGTTCGGACACTAGCTTCCTTTCCACTTTGGCTGCCAGCAGACCAAATGCAGCAACTGGATTGCTTGGAGTTGCCAGTGCCGCATTGGCTGCTGCTCGGGCCGGAACGTTAACAATGGGACCAAATGCAATTGACGAAGGACCAAGAATGCCTTACGGGGGTGGTTCGACGATGATGGAAAAACGTTACTCCTCAGCGCAACATCCAACACACACGGCTACTTTCATACCCTGCCATTGTCAACATCAGGTTTGTACTTATCAAGAACCTCATTTTTTCCAACCTCGATCCCACGAAGGTGTTTTCGCAAAAAGACCGTCTCGTCGCAATTCCGATTCCGTTTTAAATGTGGCTAATCAGGGATCTTCGTCTGCTGTGCATGTGATAATGTGTTCACATTGTAAACCCCAACAAGTGGATATACCAAAAGTGATTCAAACTGGACAGTGTTTGCATTGTCCTCAAGGCAACTGCACATGTAGTTACTATGATCCTTTTAAATCGGTAGACAGGAAAACATCGTTTAGCGGTTTGGATCCCGGGAGACCCTACCTACACTCAAGCTGGGTCGCTCTAAGTGCAAATGAGTGCCCGGAATTTTCGCAGCTACAGCCTGATACCAATCGAGCCACATCAACTGCTGTGTTAACCGCCCTGTCTACCGAATTTGATCCAGACGCATCAGGGTACAATGATCCGGATTTCTATGGTTCGGGAAACTTTCAGGCATACGTTGGACCGAGTAATCTGAATTATCCGCCCCAAACCTTCAACCAAAAATCATTGGCTGAACGCGGTAGGAGCATATCACGTGATCGGCGTAATCAATCGCAAAACACGTATTATAGCGGAGGCTATAATCGGATAAAACCGCGAGGTTTAGATGCCATTGGATTGGATTTTATGCGAATCAACGGGGCCAGACCTGGTAAGAAAACGGTTTCATGTGCTGAAACCTGAATCTTCAATCTGATTATAAAATACATTTCTTTGTGAAAATGACAACTGAAGTCTTGAAATAATTTTAACCGGTTTTGGAGTAAGCCTTAGTTCAATACTACATTATACATTTAGAGGCTGTGCGAGCTTTTTTATTACTCAATAGTAAATACTTCATGGCTTCTAGATCGATTATATGCTTAACCAGTAAAACGTTCACTAAGGGTGATTTGTTGCCGTATGACAGAAATAAAAATAGGCATGCAATAAAAGTCATTGATTGAAAAGAATAAAGGTTCACAAGGATAAAGTATTAAATGAGACACCAGCATGTTAGTCTTTTGTTCGCTGCACAAATTTACAATCAATAAATTTGATTTTGTTTGTGAAATCGTACAATTCAGATGTTTAGTCCTTTGGAAAAAATAGAGAATATTCAAATCAGTATTAAAATAAAAGAATTACAAAATTGTGCAGCGCAGTTTTGCTGAAACACATAAGGGTGGTTTTCATCAGTTCACTCGCTAAAACATGTTTACATGGTTGATTGCCGGTCCAATTAAAGAAATATAAACTACGTGTATGAGTAATAGATCGTACATGAAGTGGTCTCAATAGATTAGAAAACGTCGCAGCTGAATAATGAAAGGAGCTTGTTGCTTATCAAAATTTATCCTGTAAATGAATGGAGTTCAAAGGTACTCGAAAGTTTGAAGGCACAACAAAAGTGTTTTTCATTTTTCTTGTTGTATTTTTGCTTTATTTTATTGAGTACATACGATATAGAGTTTTTTCAAAAAGAAATGCGGACACATAAAAAGTGGTCTGGAGGCAAGCGTCAGTCTTTTTAGGTCAAAACAACAGAATTTTTGTACACAAAAGAACCTAATTCGCTTCTCCTGTCCATTCATGTTTTGTCAACAGCACGAGTGCTGGGTAGCAGTTAGAATAAGGGAGAGTCAGCCAACGGGACATGACCTAATCGGAAATATCAAGCAGATCGTAAAAGATAATGATGTTATTGTGTGAGCAAACCGAAATAGGTGAACCAGAACCCAAAGACGAATATGATTCGACATACCGTCGTACGTATGTCTTGGATAAATCAAACTTCTGCGAGATTAAAACCTTGAGCATGATTAAATGGAAAAAGAAAAAAAGTGGTTTACAGTGCCCTTCAACATCTGTTTTCAGATGTTTTCACAGCAAAATACACAATTGGCCGAAAATATTCGGGCTTTTGTTTTATTTAGTAATGAACAGAAGTTCAGCTTTCGTTTGAAATCGGAGCTTTGAACGCATTGGTTTTATCCGAATTTGCATTCACCGGATATCTATTTGTTTTCACTAACTACTTGGATCAGTGCTGAGCTAATAGTGACCAAGAATAACACATGTTAAAGCTTCATCTGAGACCGTTAACTGACCTACCTCATTTGTGATTAAAGGCTGTTAAGTGTTTGGGTGAAAACCAAAAGCATTGAACACTTTAACTGACCATGGAAACAAACATTTATTGGTCAACGATCATTCGGTGATCCAGTATTTTTCCTTCCGAATAGTCATTATTATATTCACCGATATCTGTACTTAAGACTTGATGCAAAACAATGAGACCAGGATATTCAGTGTTGAACAATATATGTGTACATACATACATATATATATACACATATACATACATATACACATATATATATACATATATTGAACATACATTTGGGAAACAACGATTGGTTTTAACTCAGCACAGGCCTAGTTCGCAAATTTCCTCGTGGAGGAACTAAATTATGCTTGAATAAATTTGTAAAACTTTCTTTCGTTATTCAGGCATTTTACTTTTATCATAGTTTTCTTAGTTTGATCCGTTAAACCCTAATTTAAACATTCCTACACTCCTTTTTCAAACTCGGATTATTTAAGTTGTTTTGCCTTTTCGTTCTTGTTATATGTATTTACATACCTATCAACACAATCAACACAAGTGTCTGGAGGAGATTATTAATCAAAAAGTGAAACGGTTGGAAGAGTTGAGCAGCGGTCTTGATGGGATTCGAATAAGCGTTCTCTGGGGTCATATGCTGATGACCTTAACTGCTTGACCCTAATCGCCACTGCATTGCTAATGTGTCACGTATGTACTGCAGTACTGCATGCACATTTTGAACAACTTTGAGGGACATAACATTGTACCACGTAGTATTATTATAACCAATATTAGTGGTAAGATGGAATTGAATTGTGAATAACTGTGATGAGTGAATGCATTTTTTATCCAAATTGCTGGAATCTGGCAGTGATATAAAACGAAATCTATCTGGTAATGAGACCTATTTAACTTTTTTAACCATTATAGTCTTTTTTAAACATTTTAAATAGTTAGAAGCGAGTTGTTTTCTTTTGTGCATCATACTCCGTTTGTTAAATAAACTACACCCAAAACCAATTTGCGTAATGACCCTGTTCAATGGAATTACCATTAGTTTGTCCTCTGGTTAGTTGTGTCCTGCGAAATGTGTGTTGTCATTCGACATATCATTGTGACACGTCAAATAATGTCCCTTTGCCATTGATTTTCTATATTTAGGAAGTACTTTGCAATCTTGTAGACTCAATCCAACCGACACAACCCAATCAGGGGTTTCCCAACTGCCTCATGTTCATTGTGCTGCTGATATGAAGGCACATCAAAAAACAAACAGACAGGAATATTTATGCTGTTATCAATTCATTCACTGTCATGTCTGTCTCCAGGCGAACGGACTGCATCAGGTCTGGTGCTTCTATCAACTCAAAAAGTAACCTTATCGCAGGAGGAAATAAAGCAGCCGTACATGCTTTTTTACTGCTCATAATTAGCTGAATATGTCGCTAGACTGTGGAATGGAGTTAGTCCAACCGTTACATTACCGTACACATTATTAGAATACGGACCATGCACGTACGACACTTTCAGTCGATTCAAAGAAGGGCTGTATTGGGTGTGCAGAGTATATTGACAATAACAAATTGAAATAGTAAACTGCGTTCAGGTTTTTCTTGCCCCGATAACTCAAAGAGATGGTCGGTTTCCATAATTTTTGTCGCGATGTGCAAGTAGTAATAGTAATAATTGCCATTGTTATCATCAGTTTTATTATTATTGTAGTATATTCAGTGCATGCTTACATTCAGTTTGACTCTTTCATACTATGACTGACCCGTGGTCGCGTTAAATATTAATACATATTTGAAAGTTATTTCTCTCGTAGGAACAAGAAAAGCATGATTTATAAGTTGCTGTTCACACAAACATAACCAAGATGTTCCAGGGGTCGACCAGTTCTCGAGTGTTGGAAGGGGACAGAGAAGTCTACAGAGTTTAGCACATACTGCTTTAGTGTTCAATGTTAAGAACGTTTCTCATTTAAAACATCACACCATGAGAAATACTTGTGTTGAGGCCAGTGATAAAATCAGAATCATGAAATATAAAACACTGTCGAAGTATCACAAGAATCAGTTTGGCATATTTGATCGAGTGGTGCACTAAACCGAACCGACTCTCCAAAAACCCTACCAGTGAAAATTGTTGCTTCAATATTCTTGCGCCTGATTGACCTCCGGGACATTGCTAATCTTGAGATAGAAGAATCAAAGTGGCTCTAATGACTGGGTTGTGTACTGTGAGACTGTGCGAGGTCTTCCCTAGACAAACTGTAATCTAAAAAAATAATATTAAGCTAGCGGATTGATTTCATCATATGGAAAACTAACCATTTGATAGTGTGGCAGTTGCCCCACAAAATCGATAGGTGGAAAGAAATGCACACGCTAAACGACTATTGAGTGAGTAAAAAGTGACTTCATTCGTAATAATTCATCAATGAAACAGTAGCTACGGATGACAGATTAGTATCATCTGCAGGTAAATAAAACTCTAATGAAAATCTCAAGGAAAATGAAAGAATCAAGCTCTTCTGGGACTGCGCATTGCCGCTTGCCATGATGAACATAAAAGAATCATTGTGAATTCAGCGTAAAATAAGACAAGCTAATCTGCAATAGATTTTGCATGGATGATGAAAAATTTGTTATGTAATTACTTATTGTTTCTTCACTTATGAATAAATGAAGTTATTGTTTTATCTGTGAATTTTCATGGGCTAGAACAATAACATTTTGAAGACATATGATCTTACTCACATTGTCATTCAAATTACTGAAGGAATAAACTGACGCTAAGAACTTGCAAAAAAACAACTCCAGTGCTGTTTTCTTAGTCTTCACGCATGGTTCTTTGAAACACTCATAGAACACTCACAGAATTCCAGTGATTTTCAACAAGTCAGCATCTCAACTTCAAAAGTCCTATCTCTGAATGTAAGGTTGATTGTTTTTCACAGAGACGACCAGACTTATTCAGAGTAAAATAAGCCATGTATGCTGCTCGGGTTCCCAGTTGATATCAAATCAAAGAAATTGTTTCTAGATATTATATCATTGCAAACTGTCGGTTAGAGGGTTACTTTCACTTGTCAATTCACTAAAACGTGTCTACGGTGTACACAATTTGGTAGCCCCCGTACGATTTGAACTCAGTCATAGACGCCACCCGCGATTTTGAACAGCAAAGTTCGCAATTTAATTATCAGACTTCAATAATTTAATTAACAAGTAATTATTGAAACTTATTGACTACAAATCCGAAACAAGTTACGATTGGTTTCATTCCCTATTTAGCCTGGGAAAAGATGAATGTAGTTGACTCCTCGACGCAAATTTCGGAATTTTTGCTGTACGATCTGAATAAATGAAACAAAAATATTTCACATTTCAGAGTCGAATAATAAAGCAACCAGAGTAATCTTATTCATTTAGTTGAGAAAAGACAAGGTTGTGGTGCGAAAAATGAATACTTGTGATGGAAAATACTGTAGTAAATAAAACTGCCAGGTTGCCTTTGTACAGACTGGAGGACGACGATTTTTATTGGAAAATTATGTTACGATTGTTGACTGCATTTCAACTACATGGATACA